CCTGTACAGTATTTATGCCTTTAAAGTGCACTTTATAAAGAGTTTTGAACAGATAAAAGACTTTTTTTTACTTTTTTCTGACCTCCGGAACAGATTAATTGGTTTTCAATGCATTTATGAATTTTTTTCGCAATACGAACGGATTAATTGGTTTTCAATGCATTTACAAATTAAAAATTAATCATGTCCCTGTACAGTATTTATGCCTTTAAAGTGCACTTTATAAAGAGTTTTGAACAGATAAAAGACTTTTTTTGACTTTTTTCTGACCTCCGGAATGAATTAATTGGTTTTCAATGCATTTACAAATTTTTTTCGCAATACGAACGGATTAATTGGTTTTCAGTGCATTTACGAATTAATATTTAATCATGTCCCTGTACAGTATTTATGCCTTTAAAGTGCACTTTATAAAGAGTTTTGAACAGATAAAAGACTTTTTTTTACTTTTTTTCTGACCTCCGGAACAGATTAATTGGTTTTCAATGCATTTATGAATTTTTTTCGCAATACGAACGGATTAATTGGTTTTCAATGCATTTACAAATTAATATTTAATCATGTCCCTGTACAGTATTTATGCCTTTAAAGTGCACTTTATAAAGAGTTTTGGATTGATAAGATTTTTTAAAAAATTTTTCTGATCTCTGGAACAGATTAATTGGTTTTTGATGCATTTACAAATGTTTTTCGCAATACAAACTGATTAATTGGTTTTCAATGCATTTACGAATTAATATTTAATCATGTCCCTGTACAGTATTTATGCCTTTAAAGTGCACTTTATTAAGAGTTTTTTTAACAGATAAAAGACTTTTTTTTACTTTTTTCTGACCTCCGGAATGGATTAATTGGTTTTCAATGCATTCCTATGGGAAACCGTGTTTCGGTTTACAAATTTTTCGCAATACAAAAAGTCCCGCAGAACACACTGAATTCGTACACCGAGGTACGCCTGTATATACACCGATCAGCCATAACGTTATGACCAGGTAAAGTGAAAAACATTGATTATCTCACGACAATGGCATTTGAAAGTGGGTGGGATATATTAGGCAGCAAGTAAACATATTGGGGTTGATTTACTAAAGGCAAATAGATGTTGCACTTTGCAAGGTACAGTTGCTCCAAAACTTAGTAAATGAGGTGAAGCTTCACTTTGCAAAGCATACCCAATCACATGCAGGGAAAAGTAAAAGACAAAGAACAGCATTTTTGCTTGCATGTGATTGGATGATGGAAGTCAGCAGAGCTTCTGCTCATTTACTAAACTCTGGAGCAACTGTTCTTGCAGAGAGCAACTGTACTTTGCAAAGTGCACAGTCAATTTTCCTTTAGTAAATCAACCCCATTGTCCTTGAAATTGAAAGCTGAAAAAAATGGTCAATGCCATTTGTTGTGCATGAGGCTGCATAGCCGCAGACCAGTCAGGATGCCCATACTGACCCTTGTCCACAGCCAAAAGCACCTACGATGGGCATTTTGTAAAGTGCTGTGCAAACTGCTGGCGCTATATAAATCCAGTATAATAATGTGAGCATCAGAATTGGAGCACAGAGCAATGGAAGAAGGTGGCCTGGTCTGATGGATTACGTTTTCTTTTACATCATGTGGATGGCCGGGTGTGTGTGCTTCACTTACCTGAGGAAGAGATGGAATCAGGATGCAGTATGGGAAGAAGAACATTGGGGAACTGGAGAAAGTACAGAGAAGGGCAACCAAACTGATAAGAGGCAGGGAGGAGATCAGCTATGAGGAAAGATTAGAGGAACTGAATGTACTCTCCCTTGAGAAGAGGAGATTAAGGGGGGATATGATCACCATGTATAATACATAAGGGGGGATATGATCTCAATGTATAATACATAAGGGGGGATATGATCTCCATGTATAATACATAAGGGGGGATATGATCTCCATGTATAATACATAAGGGGGGATATGATCTCCATGTATAATACATGAGGGGGGATATGATCTCCATGTATAATACATAAGGGGGGATATGATCACCATGTATAATACATAAGGGGGGGTATGATCTCCATGTATAATACATAAGGGGGGATATGATCTCCATGTATAATACATAAGGGGGATATGATCTCCATGTATAATACATAAGGGGGGATATGATCTCCATGTATAATACATAAGGGGGATATGATCACCATGTATAATACATAAGGGGGGATATGATCTCCATGTATAATACATAAGGGGGATATGATCTCCATGTATAATACATAAGGGGGGGATATGATCTCCATGTATAATACATAAGGGGGGATATGATCTCCATGTATAATACATAAGGGGGGGGGATATGATCTCCATGTATAATACATAAGGGGGATATGATCTCCATGTATAATACATAAGGGGGGATATAGACTCCATGTATAATACATAAGGGGGGATATGATCTCCATGTATAATATATAAGGGGGATATGATCTCCATGTATAATACATAAGGGGGGATATGATCTCCATGTATAATACATAAGGGGGATATGATCTCCATTTATAATACATAAGGGGGGATATATACTCCATGTATAATACATAAGGGGGGATATGATCTCCATGTATAATACATAAGGGGGATATGATCTCCATGTATAATACATAAGGGGGATATGATCTCCATGTATAATACATAAGGGGGGATATGATCTCCATGTATAATACATAAGGGGGATATGATCTCCATGTATAATACATAAGGGGGGATATGATCTCCATGTATAATACATAAGGGGGATATTATCTCCATGTATAATACATAAGGGGGGATATTATCTCCATGTATAATACATAAGGGGGGATATTATCTCCATGTATAATGCATAAGGGGGGATATGATCTCCATGTATAATGCATAAGGGGGGATATGATCTCCATGTATAATACATAAGGGGGGATATATACTCCATGTATAATACATAAGAGGGGATATGATCACCAAGTATAATACATAAGGGGGGTATGATCTCCATGTATAATACATAAGGGGGGATATTATCTCCATGTATAATACATAAGGGGGATATGATCTCCATGTATAATACATAAGGGGGGATATTATCTCCATGTATAATACATAAGGGGGGATATTATCTCCATGTATAATACATAAGGGGGATATGATCTCCATGTATAATACATAAGGGGGGATATTATCTCCATGTATAATACATAAGGGGAGATATGATCTCCATGTATAATGCATAAGGGGGGATATGATCTCCATGTATAATACATAAGGGGGGATATATACTCCATGTATAATACATAAGAGGGGATATTTGATCTCCATGTATAATACATAAGGGGGGTATGATCTCCATGTATAATACATAAGGGGGGATATGATCTCCATGTATAATACATAAGGCGGGATATGATCTCCATGTATAATACATAAGGGGGATATGATCACCATGTATAACACATAAGGGGGGATATGATGTCCATGTATAATACATAAGGGGGGATATGATGTCCATGTATAACACATAAGGGGGGATATGATCTCCATGTATAATACATAAGGGGGGATATGATCTCCATGTATAATACATAAGGGGGGATATGATCTCCATGTATAATACATAAGGGGGATATGATCTCCATGTATAATACATAAGGGGGGATATGATCTCCATGTATAATACATAAGGGGGATATGATCTCCATGTATAATACATAAGGGGGGATATGATCACCATGTAAAATACATAAGGGGGATATGATCACCATGTACAATACATAAGGGGGGATATGATCTCCATGTATAATACATAAGGGGGGGGGATATGATCACCATGTATAATACATAAGGGGGGATATGATCTCCATGAATAATACATAAGGGGGGGGATATGATCTCCATGTATAATACATAAGGGGGATATGATCTCCATGTATAAATACATCAGTGGTTCATATAGTGAACCTGGTGTAGAGTTATTCCCCCTGAGGTCATCACAGAGGACAAGGGGGCACTCTTTACGTCTCGGGGGAAAATAAATTTAATCTCCAAACACGGAAAGGTTTCTTCACAGTAAGAGCTGTGAAAATGTGGAATAGACTTCCTTAAGAGTTGGTTCTGGCCAGCTCAGTGGATTGCTTTAAAAAAGTCCTGGATTCTTTCTTGGATACACAGAATGCAACTGGATACTAACATTTATAGGTAAAGTTGATCCAGGGAATATCCGATTGCCTCTCGGGGGATCAGGAAGGAATTTTTTCCCCTGCAGGAGCATATTGGATGATGCTTTGCTGGGTTTTTTTTTTGCCTTCCTCTGGATCAACTGGATGGACTTTTGTCTTTTTTCAGCCAGACTAACTATGCAACTATGTAAGAAGGCACGGTGTGATGCTTTGGGAAATGTCCTGCTAGGAAACCTTGGGTCCTCCCATTTATGTGGATGTTACTTTGACATGTACCACCTACCTAAACATTGTTGGTGACCAAGTACATGCCTTCATGGAAACTGTATTCCCTGATGGCAGTGGCCTCTTTCAGCAGGATAATGTGCCCGGCCACACTGCACAAATGGTTCAAAAATGGGGAATACAACAATGAGTTTGAGGTGTTGACGTGGCCACCAAATTCTTCAGATCTCAATCCAATCGAGCATCTGTGGGATATGCTGGAAAAACAAGTCCGTTCCATGGAGAAATTGCAACTTACAGGACTTAAAGGATCTACTACCGATGGCTTGGTGCCAGATACCACAGCATACCTTCAGAGGTCTAGTGGCGTCCATACCTCAATGGGTCAGGGCTACCATGGTGGCAAAAGGAGACCTACTCATATTAGGTGGGTGATCATAGTTATTGCTGATCAGTATGCAGGCAGCAGGTGCACTCAGCAGATTTAGCAACAGGAGGCATTTCCATCATGGTGTTTATTATATATCACAAGCACAAAACGACATGAAAAGCTACAGAACGTCTGGCAGAAACAATGTAAAGTTCGGTCCCCCTCACCTGCCCGGTTCCTGTCTGCACGATCCTAACACCCGTCTTGGTTTGTAGGTCTGCCTTCAGAGCCACTGAAAGATAAAGAAAGTGATTTAGGGATGAAGGGATAAAACACTAAACCCAGAACAAATAGATTGTCAGCTTTATGTGATATTCATTGATGTTTGATGCTGCAGCAACTGATTAACTTCTCTAGCGGTCTGATTATGTCAGTATTTCTGTGCTCAAAGCGGTACATTTTTTTGCATGGAAATATGTAGTTTTTTTATTGTAGGCCTGTAATTTTTAGGAATAACTCACTGAAATCTGTCTGAACAAGAGTCTAGTAAACATCCCGGATAGGATAAAATTTGAGACACGAAATCATAAATTATAATATAATAAATAATCATAAAAAATGATAATATAATAATAATAAATTTAATTCAATAATATAATCAAACCAAAAAACACTGACATTTGAAATAGAGCGCCAAGTTCGCACATCGCTGAGCAAAGTCGCAAAATCGTTTTCAGTGTCTGATGATAAATTTCCCCCACGAATCATTATCACTCAATTCTGCAAGTGGTTCTGATTTACTATCGCTGTTCTCTAGTCGGTCTAAAACCACTTTTGACCTAAAGGGACGCTTTTTGGACGCCATGGACGTTTCTCAGTTTCCAGGCAGAAAGAACAGTAAAAATGCAGGCAGGGCGCCGGACAAAGCACTCGGGACAAAATGTATGTGAAATGGTTTAATACAGGAATGTTATACTATGTGATTTTAGTGATTTTAGTGAATGTCACTTTTTGTCATTTTCAAATTTCCCGCCAGTTCTGTCCCCGTACGTCCCGACGTTGCAGGGAATGGAACCCGGAAGACGGATGCCGGCATCGGCCCAGAGGAGATTGCCGGGACACTGCAGGAGGGACATCGCGGGAGCGCAGGACAAGGTAAGTGATCGAAGGATCCCGGAGCAGCGCTGCATGGTAAGCCTGAGTGTAGCTCGGGGTTACCGCTTGTGGTACTGAAACTTTACCCCGAGCTACACTCGGGAATACCACCAGGGAGGTTACATCTAACGGGATGCCTGCCACCCGTAGACTTATCTCTATTATTAACATCTGATAGGTTTATTGTGCTCCAGGAAGATAACTTCCGCAGCTCCTATGTTGCTCACTGTTGCCTCAGTTCCTTCAAGAGCAGAATTGCTGAAACTGCTATGCCTGCCCCTCCCCTCCTTCTGCCCATTCACAGAAGCCTTTGTATTATGTGAACTCATTCAAAAAATACGTAGGCTTCTGTGAATGGACAGCATAGGGGAGAGGTGGGCATAGCTGCTGTGTGTGCTTCTCTGCTCTCAAAGCCGGAGTGTGTTCTCCAGGAGTGCAATAAACCTGTCGCATACAGGTAACAGAGATAGGTCCTGCAGGTAACAAGCATCTAACTGGACTTAAAGCGATTCAAAAAGTTTTTTTTTCTTTCTGTTAATTAATTTCAGGTACTTATATAGTGCTTTACATATATATTGTACATTCACATCAGTCCCTAACCCTCAAGGGGCATACAACCTAAGGTCCCTAACTCTCATTCATACATACACATACTAGGGCCAATTTAGACAGGAGCCAATTAACCTACCAGCATGTCATTGGAGTGTGGGAGGAAACCCACCCAGGTAAAGGGAGAACATGCAAACTCCAGGCAGGTGGTGCCATGGCTGGGATTTGAACTAATGACCCTAGTACTGCCAACCGGAAGTGCTAACCACTGTGCTGCCCTAACATGACTATATTTATCTGCTGTGTGCAGTGGTTTTGCACAGAGCAGCACCGATCTTCCTCTTCTCGGGTCCCCCATAGGCTCTCCTGGCTCCTCCTGTCTGTCGGGTGTCCCCACAGCAAGCAGCTTGCTATGGGGGCACCCGCTGCTCTGTGTCTCCATTCACACATTAAGTCGCAGCTTGGCCCTGCCCCCCTTTCTCCTCATTGGCTGACTTGCTGTCTCAGCCAATGAGAAGGCAGAGACCCAGGACAGCCGAGGCTGTCATTCACATTGCTGGATCGCGATGAGGCTCAGGTAGGTATTAGGGAGACTATATATGTATAGAATGCATGCAGGTAAAAAACCTTCAGCCTTTACATCCACTTTAACCCACAGTGTGCCTGCATTTTTTGCAAAACTGCTGAATTCCTGGAATTCAGATTTAAACCAAGTCAGTGGCTCAGATAATATTGCATGGCTCTCAAATCTCCTTTGTTTGAAGGAACTGTCCCTCTTTTGGAACCAAACCCCTCTGTGCCTCTCTCCTCCTCGGCTGTCCTTCTTCTTAGTATGATGTATATTCTTCTAGTTCTACTACTTAAAGTGTATCAAAACTCATGGGCACATATTGACAATAATACAGCTTACCAGTCCTTAGATGTGGTGGCTGTGTTTGCTTTCTATTTTCAAACTTTGTATCATTTCTACAAGTACAGAAAATACCTGTTGATCCTACCAGAAATCCAGCATCCTTGTAACTTCTTGTGCACTCAAAAATCATTATCAGTTTTCCAACTTGTATTCTTTGAACTAGAAAACAACTCCCCTCTATATAATGGAGATGAGGAGAGAGGAAGACATTCTGTTGTCTTAGCACGTCCTGTCCGAGGGTGACAACAATGCTGCTCCATAGATACAGTGAAGTGAATGTTGTCACCCAAGGACAGAAAGTGTGTTACTGGCAGAATCACCCAAATCAAAACAAAGGAAAAAAGCCTTTGAAAAGGAAACTAATGAAGCCACCACATCGAAGGACTGGTAAGCTAAAATACACTCAATGGCCACTTTATTAGGTGCATCTGTTCAATTGCTTGGTAACACAAACTGCAGTTCAATACACTTAGGCATCTAGATGTGGTGAAGACGACTTGAAGTTCAAACAACAACATCAGAATGGGGAAGAAAGATTTAAGTGACTCTGAACGTGGCATGGTTGTTGGTGCCAGACGGGGCTGGTCTAAGTACAACCATCTCTAGGGTTTACAAGGAATGGTCCGAAAAAGAAAATATCCAGTGAGCGACAGTTGTGTGGATGAAAATGCCTTGTTGATGTCAGAGGAGAATGGGCAGACTGGTTCCAGATGATAGAAAGGCAACAGTAACTCAAACAACCACTTGTTACACCCAAGCAGGGGCGGACTGACCATTTGGAAACTCGGGCACTGCCCGAGGGCCCGGGGTCAGTAGGGGGCCCCATGAGATGCCCCTGGTACCTTTTTCATAGGCTTTTTTGAGTTTGGGCAAGGACACAGGGGCCCCATGATCCCCTATTGCTCGGGGGCCCCATGAGTTGTCAGTCCGCCCCTGCACCCAAGGTATGCAGAATATTATCTCTGAATGCACAACACATTGAAGCTTGAAGCAGATGGGCTACAGCAGCAGAAGACCACACTGGGTGACACTCCTGTCAGCTAAGAACAGGAAAAGAAGGCTACAATTCACACGGGCTCACCAAACTTGGACAATAGAAGATTGGAAAAACGATGCCTGGTCTGATGAGTCTCGATTTCAGCTGCGACATTCAGATAGTAGGGTCAGAATTTGACATAAACAACATGAAAGTATGGATCCATCCTGCCTTGTATCACCGGTTCAGGCTGGTGGTGGTCGTGTAATGATGTGGGGGAGATTTTCTTGGCATACTTTGGGCCCCTTAGTACCAACTGAGCATTGTTCATGGTATTGTTGCTGACCATGTCCATCCATTTCTGACTCCAGTGATGGCTCCTTTCAGCAGGATAATGCACCATGTCACAAAGATCAAATCATCTCAAACTGGTTTCTTGAACATTATTATTATTATACAGGATTTATATGGCGCCAACAGTTTGCTCAGCGCTTTACAATATAAAGGGAGACAATACAGCAACAATACAGTTCAATACAAGAGGGATTTGAGGGCCCTGCTCCTTCGAGCTAACAATCAAGGAGGGAGGGGTGAATGGTACAGTAGATAGTAACTGTGGGGGGAGGACTGGTTGGAAGAGTAGAGGATTCCAGAATTAGCAGAGGGCGGGATAGGCTTCCTTGAAGAGAGAGGTTTTCAGTGATTGCCTAAAGGCAAGTAGAGTGGGTGAGAGTCTGATAGATTGGGGTAGGGAGTTTCGGAGGATGGGTGATGCCCTGGAGAAGTCTTGGAGACGAGCATGGGAGGAGGAGATAAGGGAGCTAGAGAGTAAGAGGTCTTGCGAGGAGCGGAGTTTACAGTTTGGGTGATATTTAGAGATAAGATCCGTTATGTAAGTTGGGGCAGTGTTGTGGATGGCTTTATATGTCATTGTTAGTGTTTTGAATTTTATCCGTTGGGCAACTGGGAGCCAGTGGAGGGATTGGCAGAGAGGGTTGGAGGACACTGAGTGGAGGCCAGTGGAAGGATTGGCAGAGAGGGATGGAGGACACTGAGTGTAGGCCAGTGGAGGGATTGGCAGAGAGGGGTGGAGGACACTGAGTGGAGGCCAGTGGAAGGATTGGCAGAGAGGGGTGGAGGACACTGAATGGAGGCCAGTGGAGGGATTGGAGGACACAGAGTGGAGGGATGGAGGACACTGAGTGGAGGCCAGTGGAGGGATTGGCAGAGAGGGGTGGAGGACACTGAGTGGAGGCCAGTGGAGGGATTGGCAGAGAGAGGACACTGAATGGAGGCCACAGGGATTGGCAGAGAGGGTGGAGGACACTGAGTGGAGGCCAGTGGAGGGATTGGCAGAGAGGGGTGGGAGGACACTGAGTGGAGGAGTGGAGGGATTGAGGCCTGAGTGGGCCAGTGGAGGGATTGGCAGAGAGGGGTGGAGGACACTGAGTGGAGGCCAATGGAGGGATTGGCAGAGAGGGGTGGAGGACACTGAGTGGAGGCCAGTGGAGGGATTGGCAGAGAGGGGTGGCGGATACAGAATGGTTCATCGGAACATGACAATGAGTTCTCCAATGGCCTCCACAGTCACCAGATCTCCATCCAATAGTGCACCTTTGGGATGTGGAGGAACGGGAGATTCACATCATGGATGTGCAGCCAAAAAATCTGCAGCAACTGCATGACGCTATCATGTCAA